GCGCCTTCACCCCGGCTAGGGATATGGTCGATGTTTCCTCCGGGGGCCGATAATAGACCCGATCACTCCCTATTATACACCCGAACTCCCCCAGGGATAGCTTTGTCCTCCACTCTTTTATGACCGCTTCTTCTTTCTTTACGGAGAAGTAGCCATCAATATTTCGTTCATCCCCTTCTACCGCCTGGTGGTAGGTGATATGCGCCCATAGATCGTTTGCATTCTCTACACGGCGAATCCTGGTGCGCCAAGGGCGGCACCCAATTAAGTTCGTCTCCATTACCGTGCCCTTACATCCCATCCTCGTCGCCATGTCTCCGACGGCAGGGGCCGACTTGAGGTGATTTAGAAATTATTCGGTTGTTGGGTGGGCTGGTGAATGGAGAGGCGGACAAAGCATATTGGTTGCAAAAAACTTTACTTACACCGCTAGTAGCCGCGACGCAGGTGGTCCGGTCGCTTAAACAACTACACGAGTTGTTCCAGCTGGCAAGGCTCAGGCCAGCGAATCCGTACATGAGTCAGGCCGGAAGGGAAAGGGTACGTCGAAGGATGGCGCTCGGCGACGGGGAGAAGGATCGATAGGTGATCAGGCTATCGACCAGCTCAGCCACAAGTCAAGAATCTTCAAAGGCACTCTGCAGCGTGCTCAAAGTTCTCCGACTTGGGCAGAAGTCGCACAGAATTTTATACAGCTAGCAAGCCAATCGCTAGCCGCCACGTAGGAATAATTTAGAATCTGCCAATGATAGGACACAAATTTGCATGCGAATGGCGGGAACTCTCTTGCACCAGAGTTTTCTATTGCAGCAGAAAACTTTTGCTGTGCACAGAGACTCTCATGTGGTGGGAAAATTCCATCGTGCCGAGGCACTAAAATCATTGGGTTGTGACACATGATATGAAAGTATAACTGCAAAAAATTTTTAAAATCATATGGTTGGAGACACTGTGCTTTAAGCAGCTGATGATTCCATTCCTTTGAAAGAGCAGTAGGCTTTTTTTTCAATAACTTCTCCAAGTAACAGAGTTTCATAGATTTCATAGACATTAGGGCTGGAAGGGACCTTGGAAAATCATCGAGTCCAGCCCCCAGTTAATAGCTAAGCATCTGATTTTTGCAAGTTCTTTAATTTGAAGCAGGATTATGATTCACAGGTGTACACTTCTTTGGAATACAGTATACACAAAGCATATGTGTTGGTTAAAGACATCTGCTCATGTCTTCCATTTAGGACAGAAAGTGCACATTTCCTCTCCCCTTTTAATTATGACATTTTGGCATTCCAATAAGGCAGCCTTGTAAAATGAACTTGCCTTATTTTATACTTTATTCTGAAAATTATACTGTTTTTGCATATACAGCTGTAAATTATTACTCCTGCTTCTCATCATGAAATGATCAAAACTTTTGGGTGATTAGGCAGCACACTCAGTGTGGCATTTAAGAGGCATGATTACATCATCATAATTGGAGCCCTGTCTTGCCTTGAAGCACCTTTTTTTGTAATGCATATTTTTAAAAGTCACTTTACCATAGATGAAAAAAAATATATGTCTTTTATTTTTCTACTTAATGGGTTCATCTATATGTTCATTAATGTGCTTTTGCTATTGCGTGTTAAATTTAGTACCTCTAGTGTGAGGTACTAACTAAATGTGCATTAAGCTGCCTTAATGCACAGTAGCAAAAGCGCATACTTTTTTAGTGATGCTTAATGTGTAGTAGCCTAATTTTACTGTGGATTAGCATATTAGCATGTTTTTTGATGTGAATGCACAGTAAAATATGCTACTGCACAGTAAAATATGCTACTGCACATTAAAGCACATGTGTAGATGTGCCCATACGGTCTGATTCAATTTTCTTTAGAGCACTATGGAATACCTGACAGAACTAAAAATAAATTGCAGTCTCATAGATCATGCAACTGCATGGCTAAAACAGTAGTAGTTATGTTGGTGAGTGGGGTTGCTAGGGTTTCCCAAAGTTCAGTTAATGGACTACTGCCAGCCCACAAAATGTTTGTATGTGGCTTGCAAAGGGTTTTTTTAATGGTGGCCATTAATGTTGCATCTGTTGAACTTAAAGGAGTTTTATTGCATATTCATTTTGTCAGGAAAACCCCAGGTTTATGTTCCACCTATTAAGTGGCAGTTCATGAACAAAACAGGGGAATGCATGGCTTAGTTCTGCTATATTCCCTGAAGTGCCTTTCTAAAATCTCTTGCCCTACCATTGATGTAACTTTTCCAGTGGTAGCAACTACTGGTAGTACAGTAGAAACTGGATACTACCAAATATTCAGGGTTATTCAGATCCACAACAAATAGCTGAATGGGATGTGTATTTTGTTTGAAAGGATGCTGCATCTTTGGTGAGCTATGCGGGACTGTGGCTGTGGTCCAGGTGATGGAATAAGTCATGTTCTTTTGAAGTAAAGGTCGCAGCAAACATCTGAGTCTCCTGTTCCTAATATGGCAAGCCATTGTGAACTAAGCAGGTTGAGAACCACCTAGATACGAATGATTGTCATGGTGCTGAGGTACACCAGAGAAGTTAGGGATGTGTGACTGTGCCAAGAGGAAGAGAAGATATGTCTTGGGCAGACTGGGAGTTAGGCATGAGGGAGTTGTCAGTGATGCTCCAGAAAGTACTCTTTGCTTATCAGGAGTCTTGCTACAACTGATCAGATGTTTTCTGACACTATAGTTGCATGTGGCTAAAGAGGAACAGTGGTGATTAGTTCTTCTAATCCAATGACAGTGACACCACTGACTGAACTATAGTCTTGGTGTTGACTACTGTCTTTAACCACTAGCTGTTCTATCCAATTGTAATATTTCATATTAAGTACAGACTAATTTTTTTCCAATATAATCTCCAGATGACTTTTTATATAGCTCAGTTTAATTAAAAAGTTCTATTCAGTCCTCTTCTGTTGTTAAGATAAGTCTGGCCAAAAAGGTATAGAGGACATATGTTGCATTTCTTAAAGCAATTTTGAACATTAATTGGAAAATCTTTTCAAATTCAAACGAATTACCATATTTCCTTGAATAGTACATTTTGAAAGGATACATCCTATTATTCATATATAAGGAAGCAGTTTAATCCCTGCTTACACTGTGAAATCTTGACTCAACCTTAACTTGGAAGTTGCGGTTACTGCTTTCAGAATGAAATTAATGCTAATATATGCAATTAGTAAACTAGCTTAGTCAGACTGGAAGATTGTACCTTTTTTGTCACGTTTCTCCAAACTGCATAAACGAGAAGAATAAAGACTGAGTCTTTTCTAAATTAATTTTCACTCTTAGCTTTTCTGATTTTTATTTTTATGACTACCTTTTTGGTGGGAATTGGATAAATATAAATTTAGTGTGTTGAAAGTTTTAGGTGGTTGGGTTCTGAAAATGTCAAAATATTTTGCATACACCTTAAGACAGAAAGAAGTGTTGTGATTAAAAAGTGTCTGTCTATGTGGGGTCCAGGAAAGTTAATGAATCATGCATTCTATAAATAAATGTTCAAAAATATAGAAGCTTCCACCTTTCCACATGCAAAGAGTGTCATGTGTAACGTAAGTCATGCATGATTTATTTTTCTGAATAAATTTATGAAAAAATATTCTTGATGTGTTCTTCCTTATTTTAGCCAAAACTCATTGTAGCAGCAACTTTTGGAATAGAACCAGGAAGGAAAGTGGAATATATACCCCTCCTAGAAGGAGCACTGGCAATGACGCAACATAAACCTGAAAAAGTTCTCATTTACCATCGCCCTAACTTGGTAAACTAATGAGATGTTTTCTGCTTCTAAAGTGTTATCTGTCTGTTTGCTGTTCTTCTCCATTAACATATATATGATGTTCATTTTGAATTGGAATTCTTTCATTGCATAAGATTTAAATGATAATTAGATAGGTGAGAGATTAAATATACTAATTTTTATTCAGGCTGTTTTAATGGAAGACTGGATGTGTGTGCTATTTGAATAACTGTATTTTTATTTTATCTGTTTTATTTCGTTGCATATTTTCTGTGTTTCTTGGTGTATAGGGCACTGTTCCTCTTGTCCCAGGTCGTGATCTGGATTGGGATGAAGAGCTTGCAAAAGCACAGCCTCATGACTGTGTTGCTGTTAGTTCAGATGATCCACTTTATATTCTTTATACATCAGGAACTACTGGCTTGCCCAAGGTAGGTTTAGGGTGTCTTTAGGGTAAGCATCTATGACATACTGTTTTCAGTTCCACATGAGATAGCATTTAATTAAGAGGCTGAAGATGTTTGTCGAAGTTTATTGCTATAATGATAAGCAATGTTAAAGTTGTTTTAATCTCCCTTGCTCCCATTACTTTGATTTCTTAAAAGGCATTTTCTTCCAGTAAATTACATTAGCTTAACTGAAATATGGAGGATGTAAAACTAAGATGCATCCTAATACAAATGTTTGTTTTTTGTATTATTTTTGTGTGGTAGATATATGCATATACCCTATGTAATAAGTTTGATATAAATGATATGTGATTATTTGATGGACAAATAGTATGGTTAGTAAGATTTTATGTTATATATCATCACATCCTATTAAATTAAAAATGAAATAGATAATGCTGTTGGATAATATTATGATTCAAATGAGAGTGAGCCTGTTCTAAAGGAGTGCGCTGTTGAATAATTCCTCTGAGAGGAGAGGTCCTGTGAAAATGAGTTTAGGATGGGAATAGTTATAAAACTAGTGTAAAACATGCTTTGAAAATGGTAGTCTTAAACAACCAATAATCTTTAATGATCTCTTTTGAGACAGACTATGTTATATTGTACAGAACTGTAAGGCACCAACTATTTTTGTGCTAGTTTATGTCTGTATCGATTATTTATATATATATATATATATATATATATATATAATTATATATTTATATATTATATATATATAAATAATCGATACAGACATAAAGTAGCACAAAAATAGATTGATATATTCATATCTATATATATATTGTCTCATGTCCATTTGCCTCCTATTTTCCTGCCAGCCTCAGGAGTTTAATACCCCCTTAAAATATGCAAGAAATTTAATGAGAGTTCACATTTTATCTGGCTTTGCTCATTATTTTAAGATAGAAATGTCAAATGTCTTTCACCTTTTGCCTTTTTGGCTGACTGTAGCTTGGATCAGTAAAAAAGTTATGGACTGCTAAAGCAGTTCCCCTAGGGTTTCTGTTAGAACTTTTCTGCTGTGGAAAGGAACCAAAGTTGTATCTTCAGTAAAATACCCAAACTAGCACTCTGATTAGTCACAAATTGATAATTTTATCACGTCTGTTTTAGCACACTTCAGCAGCCTTTCTTTGCAGGCATTAATGGAGAGAGAGATAGCAAGTGAGCGAGAGAGAGTATATGGTGCTGGCGGGGAGAAGGAAGGGAGCACGCTGAGAATGACTGAGTGGGAAGCAAAAGTTTCAGGCTGCTTGTCTTACCCCTCTCCACATTCCTTTTTTGTGAACAAAAGTGTTTGAATTGGAAACAGACCTATAAAGGTCAGGAAAATGTTCTTTTGTCAGGACTGTGCTTCGGAGGGGCATGTAATGTTTCAGCGGGGTGTAGTTCTGTGAAGTAAAAATCCTTATGGCTGAAAAGAGGTTGTGTTCCCCACCCCAACCGCCCCCAAAAGACTAAACCTTGACTGTTGGAATGTTGCCTATAAAACTACCATATTTACCTGAATCCAGGATGAGGTTCCCCCCACCCCCATTGAACGTAGGGGGGAAAAGTCCTTTATTTTGGACTTAATTATGAGGTGACAGGGGGCATGCAGCTGCTGTAGCTTTAGCTCTGGCTCTGACCAGCTACCTCCACTGCCTCCCCTATTGCTTTACCCCTTACCACCTCTTCCACTGCCTGTCTCCTTACCACCTGCCCTCTCGCTTCCTCCCCTACTGCCTACCCCACTAGCACCTCCCCACTGCCTGCCATCCTACTTCCCCCTCACCCCCTATTTCCCCTGCCACTTCCTTCCCCACTGCAGCAGTGGGGGATGGGATGAATTTAAGAGGACCCCCCCAATAATTAGATTCTATGTATGGAAAATTACATACATTTATACATTTTTCTGTTTGTAAAATCTAGCTATTTTTGGGTGAGGAATATCTCCAGATTGTATTAAGTAATACATATTTAGCTGACATTGGCCTATTCCATGGAGACAATAAGAACACTTTGCAGTCCTCCAGCATCTCAAGAGGCACTGTTCCTAGCCCCTACTCCTGCCTGAAGGGTGATTCTACCTCCTTTCCCAGACTGCTGCCTAAGAGGGTGGTATTGACCCCAGGGCAATACCACTACCTTCTCTGAGAGGGTTGGACCCTGGCCCACATGGCATCACCCACTGAAAGCTTTAAGGTTCACTGAGGCTTTCTACCTTTGCTCCAGTGCAAATACTGATCACCTGCCTTTGAAACAAACTGAACCAGAGAAACCCGGGGCTGGCCGGGATCTGTCCTGGTCAGGGACATGTGCCGGCTGGGGGCTCAAACCTGGGGGCTCAAAGCCCCACCAGTGGATCAGGGTAGGTGATTTGAACCTGCCCCTCCTCTGCAGCTGTTTCCAAGATCAGGGAGACGGGGCAGGGGGACATGCCCCCCCCCAGGTTCCAGTGTCTTAGCCCACCCTGGCAGTAGGCAACTTCTGGCAGGGAGCAATCTCCCAGCCCCGACCAGAAAAGAGCTGTCTCCTGGCCCCATGCTCCCTGCCAGGCCCTGGGTTAGCACCTGGGAGAGCCTAGAGCTCCCCCTGGCTGTTGTAGGGGGCTGGTGCAGGGCCAGAGGGTGTGGGAGCAGACCGCTGCCAGGAGCAGCAAATCTACTCCCCCATCCTCACACATGCAGATGCCTGCCTGGGGTCAGTTTACTCTAAAGTAATTTACTCTAGAGTAAACCCATCCCACAGCATTTACATGTTTAGACACTCCCATAGAACCCTATATGGCCTGGGCCCTGCATGTCTAGAGGACTGCCTTCTCCCTAATGTTTCTAAGGCCAGCTGAGAGCAACCTTCTGCAATACCGTTTGTGCGCCAAGTCCATTTGGCAAAAAACAAGAGGGAGGTCTAGCTCCAGCTCTGGAACTCTTTCCTCCTTGAGGTGCATCAAACCCAAGCCTGGAAATTGTCCAGAAGCACTGCAAGACCTTTTTATATAGGCAGATATTTAGCAGGAGGGTTTTTGTGGTGCTGTTTGGAGAATTTGTTTTTTGTTTTTTATTACATACTATTGATATATAAATAGGGGTAGTAATAAGGTGGTAGGACATAACAGTATTTAGCCGCTGGTAGCAACTGCAAGTTGTGCTCATGGTTTTTAGTTTTTCTTCTTTTGTTAGACTCCTGCCAAGTCAAATATCAAAAGATTCTTCATGGCTCTTAAAGCCAGAAACAAACACTATAATCATCAGTCTAACCACCTGCATATCACCACAGAACTCCACCTAGTCATTTCTGTATCAAGTCTAACAATTTGTAGTTGAATTACATATCTTCTAGAAAAGCATATCTTTAACAAAAACACCCACTCTTGACTTATGGGCTTCAAATGTAGAGAATTCATCACAATCCTTTGGAAAATGTTCCAGTCTGTAAGTACACAAATTGTTAAACTGAGGATCTGTATGTGTGTGGGGAGGGCACCAAGGTGCAGGAGGAGGCAGCAGGGGTGGCAATGTCTTTTTTCCAATTTAAATGTGTCTAGCTTCAACTTCTAGTCATTAGATCTTGTACCTTTCTGTACTACAAAGCCTTTTACCACCAGGTATTTCTCCCTGTGCAGGTATATATAGAGAATGATAATGTTAACTTCTATCTTACAAAATATATTACCAGTACTCAGCCCATACCCATGGCTTTTCTTCTGAAGCCTTTCCAGTGTCTCAGCATTCTTTTGGGAATATAGAAAACCAACTTGAATGTGGCTTTCCAGTAATGGCTTTGCTGGTCACACAGGAGTAATCTTGCTTTACTCCATTTGGCATTGCTGAGACTACTACTAGAATATCTTTTAGTTGTGCAAGTTAATTTTGTGTGAGGACTTGATGGGATAAATTCATGGAGGAAGAGAGGAGAGGAGAAATGGAAGACAGGTCTGTTAGAAGAAAATCATATCTTGCACTTTTCCTTGAATCTAGTAACAGGAGAGTTATCGGAGGACATAGGAGCTCTGACAACTAAATTGCCACAATAACCACAGTGGAACAGACCAGGTCTCTCTGACCTGATGTCAGTGCCCTTGATATAAAAGCAGATTTGTAGGGATTCATATTAATGAATTAGAAAATAGAGACACATGCAGGATGCTGAAATAAGAAAGGTGGAGCTAAGTCTATGGTATACCAGCAGAGAATGGTATCTCTATTAGTCCTCACAAGCATTTTAGTAAAGACTGTTCAATAATGTATCACTAACTGAAGATCATGAAGAAGATACTGAAAGCTGTATGTAGCTCTGAGTATCTTTTAGATGGGACTGAATAGGGAATCTTGCGAGAGCAGTGCACGTGCTTTTGAATCATTTTGAGGCAAACATTTGAACCTGCCTTCTAGGCATATAGATCCTTCCATATAATTTTCAAAATGTGCCTCCAGCTGCTTTTACTTTTGGTTATTAGTCAAGTGCTATGACCTAAGAATTCTGTATCTTTTTCTCTGGAGGAAGAATGATCACTTGAAGTATACAGAAAACTTAAAAAAAAAATTATTTTAGAGACAGTGAAATATTTCCCTCAATATTTTCCAACCTAGAAAAATTTAGAATGAAAATGGATCACCACAAAAAAAATTTCCATGTTAAGAGCTGATAGCAAGCTTCTGTTTCTTATCAGTCAAGAAAAAGAAAGAAGAAAAAGAACCCCCTACCCCATAGTTTCGTAGTTGGTAGGGTTGGAAGGGACCTAAGCAGATCATCAAGTCCGACCCCCTGCCCTGGGCAGGAAAGAATGCTGGGGTCAAACGACCCCGGCTAGGTGGCTGTCTAGCCTCCTTTTGAAGACCCCCGGGGTAGGAGTAAGCACCACTTCTGCTGGAAGTTGGTTCAAGCTCTTAGCCACCCTGACTATGAAGTAGTGCCTTCTGATGTGTAGTCTGAATCTATTCTCAGTCAACTTATGGCCTGTTATTCCTTATTACTCCTGGCAGTGCTAGGGAAACAGGGACTCTCCCATTGCCTGCTGGTTCCCTTTGGCAAATTTATAGATGGCCACCTAATCCCCCTTTAGCCTTCTCTTGTGGAGGCTGAACAGGTTCAGGTCCTGTAGCCTCTCCTCGTAGGGCCTGCCCTGCTGCCCCCTGATCATGCGAGTGGCCCTTGTCTGGACCCTCTCGATGCTGTCCATATCCCTTCTGAAGTGTGGCACCCAGTTCCCCAGCCTGTAGGTATGCTGCTGGTTCTTCTTCCCCAGGTGTAGTACCTTGCACTTGTCAGTATTGAAACCCATCCTATTCTCATCCACCCACCTCTGTAACCTGTCCAGATCTAGTTGTAGCCTGTCCCTCTCTTCTAGCATTCCCACTTCTCCCCACATCTTAGTGTCATCTGCGAATTTGAACAAGGTGCTTTTCACCCCCTCATCCAAGTCGCTGATGAAGATGTTGAACAGTGCGGACCTGAGGACCGAGCCCTGGAGAACCCCACTGCCCACATCCCTCCAGGTTGAAAATGACCTGTCCAGCACCACTCTCTGGGTGGCCCTCCAGCCAATTTGCAACCCATCTGACTGTGTAGGCATTGACACCACAGTCGCCTAATTTTTTAATGAGGATGGGGTGAGAGACAGTGTCAAAGGCCTTCGTAAAATCCAGAAAGACTACGTCCACCGCAACACCTGCATCCAAGGATTTTGTGACCTAGTCGTAGAAGGCAACCAGGTTGGTCTGACAGGACCTGCCTCTAATGAACCCATATTGATTGCCTCTAAGCATAATCTCCCCAGCTGGTCCCTTGCAGATGTGCTCCTGGATAATTTTCTCAAAGAGCTTTCCCAGGACCAAGGTAAGACTAACGCGGCCTATAGTTTCCTAGGTCCTCTTTCCTCCCTTTTTTGAAAATGGAGACCACATTGGCCCTTTTCCAGTTCTCTGGCATCTCGCCAGAGCACCATGAGTGCTCATAAAGCTGTGCCGGGGTCCCGCAATGACCTCTGCCAATTCCCTCAGCACTCTGGGGTGGAGATCATCAGGACCTGCTGATTTGAACATGTCTAGTCCCACCAGAAGTTCTCTGACTAGCTCCTTACTGACCCTGGGCCTGGCAGCACCTCCCCTGGGTCAGTCCCGGGTCCCAGTGGTTGGGATGTCCTGGTCCCTGCTCAGAAAATGGGAAGCAAAGAATCTGTTAAAGAAGTTAGCTTTGTCGTCTGGTGGACCACCTGATTTCCTGTGTGTCCTTACTCAATACCTTCTTTTTACCCCCTATGTATTTAAAAAAGGACTTCTTGTTATCTTTGAAAAACCTCCTGTTTTTAAAAAAGGACTTCTAGTATCATTTTCTGGGTCACTAGTCCCAGTTCCATCTCCACCTTAGCCTTCCTAACAGCCCTCTTATAATTTCGAGCAATGGAGGTATAATCCTCCTTGGTGATGGCCCATCCCTTCCATTTAGTATACACCTCCTTTTTGTCTTTGAGACATTCCTGGATGCTTTTGGTGAGCCATGGGGGCTTTTGAGCACTCTTGCCCCCTTTGATCTGCGTGGGGATTGTCACCCTTTGGACTTGGAGGATTGTGTCCTTAAGGAATGACCACTCTTCTTGGACTCCCAAATCCTCTCCCCTCTGGGACCTCAGTACCTCCCTGACTAGTCTTCTTACCTCATTGAAATCCTCCCTCCTGAAGTCCAGGGCTGCTGCCTTGCTGCAGGCCTTTGACACCCTGCGCTGGATGGTGAATTCCAGTAGGCGATGATTGCTATCGCCCAGGTGGTCGGGAACCTGCAGTCCCCTCACCAGGTCGTCGCCTGTGGCCAGGACCAGGTCCAACAATGCATTTCCCCTGGTGGGACTGTGTCCCTCCTGGGTTAGGTGGAGGTCCTGTAACTCAGCTAGGAACCTACGTGAGTGGTCAGACCTGGCTGACTGGTCTTCCCAGCAGATGTCTGGATAGTTTAAGTCACCATGTGTAAGGGTCTTTTAGAAAGTAATAGCAATTTCAAAATAAAACTATTGTATGTGCAAGAGTGGGAAAATACACAGTGGGAAACACTAGTCGTGGTATTGTCAAACACACCCATCATTTGTGGCTGTGTAGAAAAGTGATGCACAAATGATCATTGCACACAAAATGGTTTTATTTGGACATCCCCATTACTTTCTGAAGATCTGTAGCAGGGAGCTGGAGGCTCCTGTTACAAAAGAGGATCAGACTCATTGTAAAGGTTGCTGTGTGAGTAAACAAGTGGCAAGATAAATACTAGCCAGAGAGCAGGCAGAAGGGAGGAAGGAAGGAGCTGCTGATTAACTCTTAATCAGACTATCACCTTGGGGCTGTGGAGTAATTTTCTGCAGGTGATAATGGGAAGAGTGAGATAAGGGCTTGCTCAGAAGCCAGAGCATCTGCAGGGGAACAGAAAGCAAGCTGTGCCCAGTCATGGGAGAAAGCCCTGAGGAGGAACTGAGGCCTCTCACAAGGAAGAAAGAGACACTGCGTGCTGAGGGACCCTGGTAGGGGATTGGACTTGAGCAGAGCAGTGAAGTGAGAAGCCCAGGGGTGGGTTACCCAGGTGGGCTTCATTTGCCCAAATAGACTGGCTAGTTTTCTGCTGGCTGTGACCTGCTTGACCTGAGGCTGTGCAAGTTAGAGACAGTGTACCTTTTTTTTCATTGTGCACCCGAGATAGGTGTGTGTTTGGGTTAAGGCGGGAGCCAGACTTTCAGTTTGTTTTCTAACAGGCAGGAGGACCAGTTTGGGACTAGAAAAGGGGAGGCAGGTGTCCCAGTAGTGACAGAGAGGCATGGAGAAGCTTGAGCCTGCCGGGGTGGGTCCAAGCTGGAAAGGTTAGCCAGAACCAAGGCCAGAAGACATAAAGGCCTGAAGAGGCAAGGGACTGGACTTGGACTGAGAGTCCATTAAAGTTACTGATTGTTGACACGTAATATATGGACGTGGCTGTAGGGGTGGTTGTAGGCCATGAATACAGCTTTTAAGGCATCCAGTGTTTAGAAGGAAACAGTGTTTGGACCTAGACCTGTGAGTCTCTTGGGATCCTAGGCAACCTCAAAGCATTTATTTCTAGAAATATAAAAGGCATGGCAGGAGAGTGAGGAGGAAGGGCCCAGGGACCAGGTGGGCAGGAGTGGAGGACCAGAGGAGGGCACTAATACAACACCCAATTTCATCCTGCTACAAGAACCCTTGTATTTTGTTTTCAGACTGAAATGTTGCGCTTTCCTTAATATTGCATAATCTATCCATCTGTATATAAGGTTTAAAAATGAAAGAAAGCTGTGAAAGTATGACTATAGATAAGTATGTACACACACATTCTTGTAATCTGATCCCTTAAGACTTTGCTATTTATTCTGTAAGTAGTCTTCAAGAGGCAGAGTAAGACTTTGATTATGCTGTATTTCTGTCAAAATAAAATATATCCTGGTCATTCTTTAAATTATTCAAGAAATATAAGAAAACTGAATGATGGATTTTGTTAATATTTAGTTTGTAAAAATTCATCCCCATGTTAATATTGGGCTTCTTTCATGCATGGATAGAAATATTTGTTACAATTCAGTGGGGGTTTGAGACTTATTTACTGAAATACCACTTTTTAAATGGGAAAAATAAAAGCAGAATTCAGAGAAACCTCACAACTTCTTTGATAAGTACAGATGATGTATATGAAACTACATGAAAGGCTTTTACCAGTTAGACTTGCCCAGAAATGTATATCTTTGTAGAAAATGCCCATAATAGGAGAGTAACGCTATACTGTTGTACTGAGCTCTGTTTTATGGAAGATGGGGGAGAGCAGAGACACACACTGCTGGGGAAATTTGGGTCCTTTGGCACTAGTTACATTCCTTTCCTTCCATGTTGCTTGTCTCCATTTGACATTGCAACTGTTTGTTGCTCCGTATTACAAGGGATGAAAAAAGGGCTGTGTAATGCTGGTTATTGAGTTAGGTCAGTGTGTTGAGCTCATTTGTATGTTGGATCACTTGAAACGAGAAGGAAATGTCAATGTAACATAAGGTGAACAACCAAGACTAAAATTCCACATAAGGTAGGAAACGGAAAATTGGGAGAAAGAATGATGAAAACAGAGAGTCCATAGCAATGGCTAACACAAAAGGGTATATGATTAGAGAAGGCCAGATTACTGGGTGCCAGTCTAGCAAGAGAAAATCCAATTAAAAAGCAGGGAAGTGTCTTTTATTTTCACTCACTAGGAGGCTTTCACATGGATAGTAGTGTAGTTCATCAAAGCACAGGGTGAAGAATCAGGAATTTTCCTCTGTTTTGGAAGAAAAAAATAATACGTTTTTAGAGCAACATGTAGTTATTGTCGCATACTACACACAATCTTGCATAAATGAATGGAGACAGGACCAATACTCCTGAAGCTTTCAAAATCCTACGTCCTAGAAGCAACCTTTTGGTGGTTAATATAACAAGGCATGAGATGTGATTGTTGGCAAAAGTATATTCTGTAGAATGCTAATGTTTTATGGTAGAGGCGGCATTTCTCTGTATTGTTGAAAAGGGAGACCTTTATGCTCTTCCATCCTGTTATAGCTCACATACTTCTTAACATTTTTGTTCTTAACCCCTATTTATATCTGTTGATGGAATGCATGACAGTCCTATTTTGAAGAGAGTTTTATCCTAGTAGCGGTCTTCTGCAAGCAGTTGCCTTCAGATTTAGTTTCTGTTGTTGTTTTTTTTTTTTAGATGATCCCTCTGCATGCTAATGAAAAGTTGCTTCTAACCATATTTGGCATTCTTTTAGTGGGACTACTGGCACAAGCACATATTTGTAGTATCAGGCCCTTATGTTATTCTGATGTGGCAGAGAACTGAAAGTTGTAGCAAGACAACTTTACCTTTTCAGCTAATTTGTATTGTAGAGAATACTTTCCTCATGGAAGGAAGAGTCATGTCTGTTTGCCTTGTAAGTGAGCATGATTTTATATTTTTTCATTTAGGGTGTTGTTAGACCAACGGGGGGCTATGCAGTTATGTTGAACTGGACCATGTCAGCTATATATGGACTCAAACCTGGAGAGGTAACTGCCATTTAAATTGTAGTTGTGTTCATTAAAACTTTTTTTTAAGACAACCAAACACATATATAGTTTTTCTTTCTTCCTTCTATCCATTTCAGGTGTGGTGGGCAGCTTCCGATTTAGGTTGGGTAGTTGGCCATTCCTATATTTGTTATGGACCTCTCCTGCATGGAAATACAACTGTTTTGTATGAGGTAAATGCTTATTTCTGGTGTTAACATTTCTGCCTTATCAGGGTATGTGAAGACATACATTTATTGTTATTATGACGATTATTTTACATTTTTGGGACTTCAGAAAATAGCAATAACGGCCGATTGTCTGCTATCTTAACCCATCATCTTGGAAAAACCTGTACATGTTCATAAATCTCTTGATTTTAATGAGCTACACACTTTTAAGCACACATACCTATTAGTGTGGTCAGAGCCATGATGCTACCATGACATATCCCTAAGTTTAGCAATAAACTTGGAACATTTTTATCCTCAATGAGCAAATCGGGTATATATTCTCCTTAATAACTGCTCAGTATAATATGGAGGCTGCTACTGTGAAAAAACATCTCTGAAAAGCTTCAGTACTTAGATATACATGTTTAAATATACTTTACCTGTATTAGCAGAGTGGGCATTTCTTTGTAGTTGTTGACCTCTGATAATGCTGTTACATTCTTAGAGTTAAAAATAAGAGCAAATACACCACATGTACAGTATGTTATGGATCTTTTTGTGTACAACTCTTTGGCAGTTGTTTTTTGATCAGTTCTCCTGTGTAATGTCTGCTATGAAAATAGTAGTTACACTACAATTTCCTCAGAGGTTATCCTTGTCCATATTATAATTGGCTCCTGGAAACAGTGTTGCTTGCATTATTTTCCTTTTTGCTTCAAGGGGAGCTGAATTTATTTCATCTCCGCATGTAGAAGAAATGGTGGAATTTCACTAAAAAGGTGTGTAAAAGGATTGTGAACCTTCTTGTAGTGCCAATCCTAGGGAGTAGTCCATGGATGGGGTAGGGGAAGAATAGAGGATCTATAACTACAGAAAGCTCTTTATCATCTTGGATGTGATATTTCTGGAAGGCAGTGGTTTTCAACCTTTTAGACTCAGGTCACCCTTGTTAAACTTGCGGTACTAGGAAAATTCCAGGCCCTAGCTTTCACCTGTTTTATGACTAAAAGAGCAATTTTCCTGTGGCAAAGAACTCAGAGGTCATGTCCCTAAATGCAGGGGCATGTGCTTGCATCAACAAAAAAAGTAGCCGCACAATTTATGCTGCTACTTTTTGCTGCTGTGCACACCCCTGCACATGCACTTTGGTGCAGGGCAAAATGTCCTGCTTTGGGGAAACAGCAGTTTCCCCACTCCTCCCACTCCTGGCATGCTGGAGGAGCCAGGGTGAAACCAGAGGGAGGGAGATGCTCTGGCCAGTAGCCAGAAAGTCTCCTCAGAGGACCGTGCCTCCGTGTCTGCTGGTGCACTGTCCTGTGACACTTTCCGTGCCACTTTTTTCACAGTGGTTTTTGCTACTGGGATTTCCTGGTAGCAAATTTTGCCCCTGGGCTGCAGATTTGCAGTGTGGGGCACGTTTTAATGTGCTGAGCATGTGGTTTGTGGCAGCACAAAGAGGTTTGTGGCACCACAGACTGCACATGCTTGCACATCTTGGTCCAGCCAGAAAGACTACAGTACATCAGGCAGTTTTTACTATGGATTACATTTTCAAATCTCTGGGCTTATGTTGCAAGTCATCTATAAGTGTCTGCAAACCAACTGTGCTAATATTGAGCAGCTCCCCGCAGCACCCTTGAGGATATCATGTCATCCCAAGGTGCTGTGGCATCGTAGTTGATAATCACTGGTCTAAGGAGATCTTTCAGAGATGCTGCTGCCTTGAGCAGTGGTTAGACTAGATGATGCTTTGCTGTCCCTGCCAGTTTTCTCTTTCTGTGAGTCCATGAGGATGCTTTAGCCAATAGGCATATGATATCTGCTTTTATTGCATAGCTGAGAAACAGGAGCCTTCATGAACAGGAATCTTAGATGAAGTATACCATGATAAGTGTCCACAAATTTGGTTTATAACCTGTGAGATCAAGGCAGGCAAATGGTTCTTTCCACATCCACATAATTTTATCTAAAGTGCCAATCCAAGCCTTGTTTACACAGGTCTATACTAGGCCAACTGGTGCTTATGAGTGGTGCTAGGATTTGCGTGAGCCATTGAAAGAAAGACCCCTCTAAAGACACCAGTGAAGGTCCTATTTCTTTCTGCAGGACTTTGTTGGGCCACAGATGTGGGTTCAGTAAACCGGCATGGGGAGTTCTGAGCTGTAGTTAGCCATGTTAATTTGTGGTTGAGAAGGAAGCATACATTTGTACCTTTATAGACTAACCAAAGTAGATCTCTGTCTTTCTCTCTCTCTCTCCCCCTCTTCTTTTATTAGTCTGTAAGATACAAATCTACCCTGCCTTCTACTTGACTTCAGACTAACACTGCTCACAAATGTGTATCTGCAATTTTATTTATATATAAATCAAGCTTTATATATCAAGTTATATATATTGAGCTTTTGTGAGCCCAAGCTCACTTCATCAGATGCTGTGAAAGGACGTGCATAGAACATGGAGCATTCTTGTTCCACAATTTTGCCTTTGAGTTTGCTTTTGAAGTTTTGGCGTATTTATAGATGTGCTCCGGGAGGCGGGGTGGGGGGTGTTTTAATTAGCACAGCTCCAAGAGTCATGTTAATTAAAGAACCTGGAGCATCATGTGCATCAGTGTCCCTGCACTGAAAAATGGCGGCAGGGCACTTTGAACTAAAGCTTGTCAAACAAGCTTTAGTTTAAAGCACCCTGCCACCATTTTTCAGCATGGGGACACTAATACTTGTGATCCTGGAGTCTGCTGGAGCGCAGTAATTACCACACTCAAGCAGACTTGATTAATCAAGTCTGCTCTGATGTGCTGTAATTACAGTGCATTGGAGCAAGCTCCTTACACTTGTATAGGAACCTAAGAACAGCTAGCCTGAGGACAGCGATGGAATGTCTAGGGAGTATAAAGTGTTCTGCCACAGGCCTGCATGTATTTCTGCAGCTGATGTCAGATCAGTGTTTGTCCATTCTTTCACGTAGGGATTGCCCCATCTGTCCAGAGTAGACAGGAGAGGGGCACTTTGAGCAGGTGATGGTGTATATGACATTGGTGCGGTTGTAAGTTAATGAACCCCAGATGTTATAATCTGTGTTATCCAGTCCAATGATAATGTGGTCTATAGTTATGTTGGGGATGGGAAGTTCTGGCAAGGTTTGCATAGTGCCTGGGTTCTAAGGAGTTCTGACGTTTATGTACTTCAACAACCGTCTCCCTTTCTAATGAAATGGCTATCAGTAGAGAGTTAGGGGTGCCCCCTGTGGGGACCCAGCCTGTCCTTTTCTGCCATAATTTATGAAGCTGTATTTGTTCCACGTGTGTCTGCATATAGAATTCATTTACACTCTGGGCAGTTGCAGAGTGGTGGTGAAATACACAGTTAGAGGTCTGGTGGCAAGGTGGGGCTAGCTTCAAAATAACTTGCATGTGTGAGAGAGAGTGAGAGAGATTGTGGCCTGCTGCAGTCTGCATAACATTTGTGAAACTAGAGGCTAGTATTTTCCTGTTGAGTGGACCCAGGACACCAATGGATACCCAGCCAATTTTTTACGACTGGAAAGCATCCCTTTAAGCAAAATGGGCCAATAGTCAAGGAAGTCATTGGCATTTAGGGATAACCTCTATGCTCACTTGCATGGTACATGTGGCAGTTGTAATGAGAAAGTGATTACTAATGCTTGTGTTTAATTGAAAAATACCATGGAACGTGCTGTACCAATATATGTCAGGGATTTAAAATTCCTATTCTGCATAATTTTTAGAACTTTCAGGTTGAAAGGATTACTGCTGTTTATAAAGTATTTTAGGACAGGTCAATTTTTCTGTATCACTTTGGGTAAGGGTAGATTTACTGACCAAATTCCAAGTCAGTTTTAATGAAACTTTCATTGCTTGCTGGTTTGGGGACATGGGGTGCCTTACTGTTTTTCAGTTCTTCTGTAAAAAACAATGAGCATAGCTTTTGCTTCCTATTTCCTTACCGTTGAGTGAGAAACAACAAGTAATTAAACATCCCACCCTATTTACTTTCCTATTCAGTGAAGGAGGAACTTCACAATATTATAGTTAGACCATCTGATATGGCTAACGATAAACGTCCAAGCAAGATGCAAACTAGAAAACTAAAGTATGAACTAAAACTACAGCTAGCATGCTATTTTGAAGAAGAAAGGGCAAAATAAGACTGCTGGTAACATCAGTGATAGTGATATCTGCTGCTTGTATTGGCTGTCCTGTTTTTCTCTTCCTTTTCACCTCTTGTATGCTGAAGTCCCCGCACAGCTGTCCAGACTTGTAAAGTTCTGTAGACAGATGCAGTTCTTGAACTTCTGTAAGCTCTGGTACTGCAGTTGAAGGAGTGGAGAAGCAAGTTTGAAGAGTTCCTTGTGCCTGATTAAGCACTTGCGGAGGATCTTGTGTTGTAAGAGGCACAATCATGGGTTCCTATCCTTAACAGGGACCATAACTGCTATCTGGGCCTACATTGTCACTACACAGAGGCTGTTGCAGAAGTCCACATGGAGCCATGTGCCTATGTGGGGATTTGTGTGCTTGAACCGTGATTTTTAATAGAACCTCTCCCAAAAACATAGGTAGGTTGATGGCAGGCAGTCCTTGCTGGCTTATGGGTCCCTTTGCTCTGCTTCCTTTCCTGTGAGGCTGTGCTGCTCATATGTAGGTCCTTGGAGAAATATGTTAGGACATGTGGTGGAATATCTTGCTAAGTGGATTGCTGTGAGTTTGTTGTGCACATAACTGTGGTCATGTTTTGGGAACTTTCCTCTCCCTCTTCCTTTCTGTAAAGGCTCTGTTAAAGAAGAATGGACTCATGGGAGCTGCCAGGTTTAGTTCTTAAAGCTCTGATGGGTGTCTGTTTGAGCTCTGTATAGCTGGAGGACAAACAGGTGCATTACTGGATCCCAGGTTAGCATTTTTTGTTTTTCAGTGTTTGATATGGGTGACTCTATCTCAGTAAAGTACTGCAACCAAAGCCTTTGAATGCACAGCTGAGGAATCTGACTCAAAATTGCATTGT